GCTCATAATTAATCCTACATTATTAGAACAAAACTATCTCATATTTGAAAACTCTTTATTAATAAATTTAATATTTTGAGGCCGTTACGCCTATTTTTGCGATGTGTGTTAGAGACTTCTAGAGTACCTATAATATTATGGGCTATATATTTTTCTTATTTATTAGTTCAGATTACAGTCCTTCTTCTAGATATATGACTAGAAAGTTCCTTACCCATAGATTGACTGAATTATTTATTTATAATTTTTATTATAATATGGATAGCATTAGAGAAAGACTTTTACAATTGGACTAGCAAGCCTAACAATTCTAACAATAAAATAAATACTTAGAAGCTTTGAATGTTTTTGAGGAGATGCTGATGATAAAGAAGTCTGCATATGGTGAGGATTCTGAAGAATATTTCAAAACTAGTGATAAATTGTGTGAATTATGTAACTTAATAGCTATGATTTTCTTACAAAAAGAAAAATTCGATGCTTCATTAGAGTTTTTAAAGAAGGCAGACCTATTAGCATAATCTAGTACTAGATATAAGTATTGATCTCTTAATATTTATTCTTTTTTATTAGAGCGATAACCTACAACAATTTGGCTTGTTTCTACAGAAGAAATGGGAAACTCAGAAGTGCTCTGTAATATTTGTAATAAGCATTGGAAATAGAAATTAGACAGGAAGCCGCACCATCTTTGGCTGACACCCATTTAAATATGTGTGCTGTCCTATCATAATTAAATAGAGTAAGGAATGTTATATAATAGCACGCTGATGCATTGGAACATGCCACGATAGATTAACGACACCTCTCCAGCTATAAATATTAAAAGGGGTTCATGTAAAATATTAAGGAGGGGTAAAAATATTTAAAGGGGGGTTCGCAAAAATATTATTTAGGGGGGGATAAAATGTTCGAAGTGTGATCTCTAAAATATTTTGGGGGGGTCTTGCAAAAATATTGATGGGGGATCACCCTAAAATAATTGGGGTGGTCTAAAAATATTTGGGGTCCAAAAAATGTTGATTGATATCTTAAAAATATTTAAGTTAAATTACTTCATCTTATTCATATTACAATTTTGATAGCCCCACTATTCTAAGTTCAATCTACACACTGCACTAAAAATATAATTTAATAATATTCAAATAAAATGATGTAATCATTTGCTTGAAATGGAATGCGTTTTAAAAAGCATGTAATTATCTATTATTCTAAGAAATGAAGATCAAGAATTGAAACAAAGAAAACTTATTATTTAAAAAATTTTAAGAAATTAATTAAAATTTGAATTGTAATGCTCTTAATGAATATTTCAAATTCATTTTTGCTTTAAGTCTTCTAAAAAGCAACTCCCTTTGGATTTAAACAAGGGTTTTAAATCTTTTCCTTAATGATTAATAAATTGTCCTTATAAGATAAGTGTTCCTGAAGATTCAAATAAAGGATTCTAACATATTCTAAGTATGGTACTATCAGGATTAACTAAATAATAATGAATAATAATACCATTTGGCAATAAGGAGCTATTCTGAAGTGGTAATTAATACTAGGCAAGCAGATCTTTGTAGCTTCTATCCGATTAGAGTATCTCCTTTGATGTTTTTAGATCCCATAAACGGATAGAGTTATCTATACTACTAGATGCTAATGTAGTGCCATCAGGAGACAAATTGACTGATAGAATTCCATTTGAATGACCATCTAATATGGCTTTTTATTATCCTGTCTTAACATCCCATAAACGGATAGAGTTATCTTCACTACCAGATGCTAATGTAGTACCATCAGGAGAGAAATTGACTGACATTACATAATCTGAATGACCATCTAATTTGGCTTTTTATTATCCTGTCTTAACATCCCATAAACGGATAGACTTATCTGCACTACCAGATGCTAATGTAGTACCATCAGGAGAGAAATTGACTGAATAAACTTCCCTTGAATGACCATCTAATATGGCTTTTTATTATCCTGTCTTAACATCCCATAAACGGATAGAGTTATCTCCACTACCAGATGCTAATGTAGTACCATCAGGAGAGAAATTGACTGAATAAACATATGATGAATGACCATCTAATATGGCTTTTTATTATCCTGTCTTAACATCCCATAAACGGATAGAGTTATCATAACTACCAGATGCTAATGTAGTACCATCAGGAGAGAAATTGACTGAAAAAACTCTATCATAATGACCATCTAATTTGGCTTTTTATTATCCTGTCTTAACATCCCATAAACGGATAGACTTATCTGCACTACCAGATGCTAATGTAGTACCATCAGGAGAGAAATTGACTGAATAAACTTCCCTTGAATGACCATCTAATTTGGCTTTTTATTATCCTGTCTTAACATCCCATAAACGGATAGACTTATCTGCACTACCAGATGCTAATGTAGTACCATCAGGAGAGAAATTGACTGAATAAACTTCCCTTGAATGACCATCTAATTTGGCTTTTTATTATCCTGTCTTAACATCCCATAAACGGATAGAGTTATCTCTGCTAGAGATGCTAATGTAGTACCATCAGGAGAGAAATTGACTGAATAAACTTCCCTTGAATGACCATCTAATTTGGCTTTATATTATCCTGTCTTAACATCCCATAAACGGATAG